TTTACATACCGATTTACAAAATTAAAAAGCAGACTTTTCATCAATAGATCTAAAAAAACGTCAAGAGCTAACTGTGACGCAATATAGGGTGTTAAGGTGTATATATAGAGCGAAACTACAGTGAATAGGTTAAAAAAAAAAGGTTTGAAATCCAATTCCTAAATAAGGAGCTTACTTCTGTTAAGCTTATAACGGCGGTCGTAGAATAGCGTCCATTCCACAGAAATGTATTCCAAGCTGTTTTTAGGAAGATAAATAAAGCTGAATTTATATATTCCAAGTATATATTGCTTCAAGTTGGTTTGTTGGAAGAGTGGTATATACTGTTGATCTTCTACAACTACTACCCGGGTTCGAATCCCGCATTGGCCACCTTTTTTTTTTCTATTTTCAATGTTTCCCGATTCACAAGTCCAGTGAGTATAAGTAACCAATCATCAGGATGATATTGTAGCAAAGTATTTATTATTGTATTAACAGAGTATCATTTTTTATATTTATATTTTACTACTCTGTACACTTCCCTCGTTACTTATCTTTTGTTTATCATTCATAGTTTGTTCTTGCTTTAAGTAAATTGCTATGCCATCCTGAAGTTTATCTTTCCTAATTTTTAACGTGGCAATATTGTACCAAGATATAGAATTAGTTGTTTGTCAACTTTTTATTAGTAGGCTAGCATATGCCCAATTGTGTCTTTCGCTAAATTAAATCGTTGGTTAGGTTGATAAGGTACAATTTGGATTATAGATTATAAACACAAGGTCTTTCGCTAAACTAAATCGTTGGTTAGGTTGATAAGGTACAATTTGGATTATAGATTATAAACACAAGGTCTTTCGCTAAACTAAATCGTTGGTTAGGTTGATAAGGTACAATTTGGATTATAGATTATAAACACAAGGTCTTTCGCTAAACTAAATCGTTGGTTAGGTTGATAAGGTACAATTTGGATTATAGATTATAAACACAAGGTCTTTCGCTAAACTAAATCGTTGGTTAGGTTGATAAGGTACAATTTGGATTATAGATTATAAACACAAGGTCTTTCGCTAAACTAAATCGTTGGTTAGGTTGATAAGGTACAATTTGGATTATAGATTATAAACACAAGGTCTTTCGCTAAACTAAATCGTTGGTTAGGTTGATAAGGTACAATTTGGATTATAGATTATAAACACAAGGTCTTTCGCTAAACTAAATCGTTGGTTAGGTTGATAAGGTACAATTTGGATTATAGATTATAAACACAAGGTCTTTCGCTAAACTAAATCGTTGGTTAGGTTGATTAGGTACAATTTGGATTATAGATTATAAACACAAGGTCTTTCGCTAAACTAAATCGTTGGTTAGGTTGATAAGGTACAATTTGGATTATAGATTATGAACACAAGGTCTTTCGCTAAACTAAATCGTTGGTTAGGTTAATAAGGTACAATTTGGATTATAGATTAGAAAGGTAATAAGACCAAATCTAAATAGTGTGTGATGTTTCTGTAACAGCGTTGTTATCATCATCATACAGTAGCTTATTCAGTACTTTTGTCTGATGATGATAACAACACTGTTACCGAAACGTCACACACTGTTTATGTATTTGGATTAGGTCTTATTACCTTGTGTTTAATGAGACATCTGTTCTCTCCAGCTAATGCTAATATTTCGTGACATGTGGGGTCTAAATCAAACATCTCCACATACCTTCTATGTCCAGGGTAGCCTAGTGGACATGGCATCTACCCGGTAAGTGGAACACTGTGGGTTCGATTCCATCCCTGACACTTTTATTTTTCCGTTTATCATTACTCTTCACAATTCATCTTTTCATACTTCATTCACATACCTTCTATGTCCAGGGTAGCCTAGTGGACATGGCATCTGCACGGTAAGTGGAACAACGTGGGTTCGATTCCATCCCTGGACACTTTTATTTTTCCGTTCATCATTACTCTTCACAATTCATCCTTTCATACTTAATCCACATACCTTCTGTGGGTGTCGACAACAACAGATGTAGCGCTGTGAATGGATTTCTCAGTAGACGCCATTCTGCCTGGGACAATCAAAGACTCTTGAAAACATTCTTCTTGAATAGCTCCCGAACAGAAGATTGACGCATTCAAACTGCTTCTCCAAATGGAATTGTAAATTGAAAAACAATTGAGATAATTTGTACCTCGCTAATCAAATTGTCTTCAGTCTTCTGAGAAGAAATGTACACACACGTTCTCTTCTACCTATCATCGGAATTCTTTGATTTTTTTAATAATTTTATTATTACAGAAGCACGAAGTCTATCAGACTATTGTGCTATATTAGAATTATATATATATATATGAAAAACGAAAGAAAAAATAAAAGATAAAAAGATCAGGTGTTGAAATCAATATTAAAAATGGCATATCCTGACCAGGAGCACCAGATGGCGCTCTGCCTTCTGTAAAGCACATGTGCTCCTGGTCAGGATATGCCATTTTTAATATATATATACATATATATCTTTAATTATTTACACGATGAATTAGTAGTGGTTTATAAATCTGTGTACAAATAGCTCTAAACTTAAGTTTTCATAAGACTGAGTATATATACAGAAAGATGATTTGGCATAATTCTTTGATTAAAAAACAAAATATCGAATGTGTTATAGAACAGACTAGCAGTCCTATATGTAGTTTTATATAATGTTGATTTTATTTCCATATAATATCTCTCTCTTGCTCTAGATTATTCCCAGCTCAAACTTGAGCCATTATTTTCACAAGGAGGTGTTTTAAAATGTATTTCATACTATCTCAATTCACTCGGTTTCCCCCGGATGCTCTCCAGGTACATTTCATCCATGTTTTGTTAGTGCGTCACATTCTGTGTATATCAAATAATTATAGTTTAAAAACACACACAATTGATTCAAAATATATATTAACCACAAATCTAGTTATTAGCTTTACTAGTGCTGCCCCTATTGGTAAAAAGAAAAATTAAAGGAAATTTTGTTTTCGATTTTTTTATTTTAATATTAGAATTATCTTCGCATAATTTTAATGACGTTTGTCTTCCTTTATTTTTCTACGTCACAGCATATACTTAGTCTAGCCATAAATATTGTTACAAAACAAAATCAGTGATAAAAATATTAATTTGAGCGCGTGAAGTATTCAAAATACAGTAGTTGTTATTTGAATATCTCGTGCACACGTGTTTAGAAAAAAAATCGGAATATATTTGTTTTTCGATAATGGATTGGAGTGTTAAAGAAAACCTATAGCTGTAATAGCCTTACACAAGGTAGGCCAAAGTCCTTCATCCATTTTTAAACTTTTACAAAATTTGAATATTACGCGTCAATTTGTTTATCGAACCATTGAAAGGTTCAACAAGGCTGGCACTATTAAGGACCTTGAAAGATTTTGTCGACCGCGCGTGCAATGAACGCAAGCAGCTATAAAAGCCATTCGCGAAAGATTTCGTCGAAATCCACGCCGCAAACAAAAGAACTTCGCAAAGCAGATGAATTCAGCTTCAAGAACCCTTTCCAGGATAATCAACGAAGACCTTGGACTCGGAGCTTTCAAACGACGCACAAGTCATTTGATAACCCCTGCTCTTAGAGATATTAGAAGAGTTAGATCAAAAATGTTGTTGGCGCGGCATGATGTCGGTGGCATGATAGAATCCTTTTCACAGACGAGAAAATTTTCACTGTCGAGAAAAAGATTAATCGTCAGAATGATAGGATATATGCTTGTAGCTCTCTAGAAGCTTCTTTGAAAGTCAGAAGACTTGAAAAGTCACCATCTTTCTTCTGTCATGGCTTGGTGGGGAGTTAGCTACCAAGGTGTAACAGATCTCCACTTCTGTGCCAAAGGGGTAAAAACTACAGCTAAAAACTATCAAGAAGATACTTTGAAACAAATAGTAAAGCCTCTGAATAAAGAAAAATGTTGAATGGAGAACATTGGATATTTCAACAAGATTCAGCTCCTGCTCACAAAGCTAAGTCAACTCAACAATGGTTGAAAACGAATGTTCGGAGTTCATAAAGGCCAATGAATGGCCCTCTGGAAGCCCTGATTTAAACCCCCTTGATTACAGTTTGTGAGAATATTTAGAGGAGAAGGTGTGCTCTAAAAGATATCATAATTTGGATCAATTGAAATCAGCATTTGTGAGAGCAATGAAAGAAATACCCTTAGAAAGGCTGCGTGCCGCCATAGATCAGTGGCCCGGACGTTTGAGATCCTGTGTCAAAAATAAGGGAGGACATTTTGAAAGATTGTATATATTTTAAATCTATGTCCTATTGGCTAATAAAATATGTATTTATAATCCATTAGTTTTTGTTCTTAATCATTTAATTTATAAAATTGTTTGTAACAGAATTTATGGCTAGACTGTGTATATGTATATATAAATGAATGTATGTGTGTGTGTCTGTCCTTTATGCCTGACCAAACCACTCATTGGAACGCCATGAAACTTTGGGAAGTTATTTAGTATAGTACTGGGAAGGTTTCTAGCAAATAAAATTTTTGAAATAACTTTTCGCCTAAAAATAATCAAGATAAATATTCTAATTTATCTGTTATAATTCAACAATATGCTCTAAATATTATCATGATGATACGATGATTTTGTAATGTAGAAAATTAGGAAAGACAAAATTCAGGATGACACGGCAATTTATTTGAGACAAGAATAATGATACAATTCCAAGGCAAGATACTGTTACGACTCTTCTCAGCCGTCGATGTTTGCGTTCAAGGTTTCTGAGAAAACAATGTGGGTTCGTTTTGGATACAGCTTAGTACTATAGATTTATTACCAGATATTTAAAAGGGATATTAATAACTATACACAGGAGATTGACTTGCCTTCAGTGTCCGCCACTAGAGGGATCCTCCTCCGCTACCGTCTTCCCGGTCAGTCCATACGGCCACACGTCCGGAGCCCACCTGCTGCGTCTGTTGTCACCGCCGTTTTCCTCGCTGCAGGTCCCGTTGTCACCAGACAGACTTCTCTCCCCAGACTGCCAGGTCTTCTCGGTGCACAAACCCCGGCAGGCCGGCCGGCTTCCTTCCACGACGGCGGCGCCAGCTGGACTCCCTTCTGTCTGCCACCCCCTCCTCTGGAATTTGTCAATCAACACTTCCTGGAAGGGCCCCCTGGATACCTTCTTCTCTTGGCTTTCCCACTTCTTCTTTTCTACTTCTTTGTTGCATCGCTTCACTGCCCCCTTCTCAATCCTTTTCGTCCCGAAAAGGCTGATTTCACCAGAGGCGCTGATCGGCGGCCCTTTGATCTCCCTGACGTCTCTGGCCACCTGAGGGTCGTCAGCCTCCCGGAAGCGTAACGGCAGGGTTAACACCAAC